ATCTCAGGTACTAAACATCACATATCAATGAATGTACATGGATGCTGTAGGACAATAGACAGACCTGGATAATTGTGGGTTAAAATCTGTACATATTAATTAATCAGCTTTCACACTGATATCTAAAGTATCTAATTATTCCATTTCAATGAAACTTAGTACAAAGATGCTCTAGGACAATGTACAAACCTAATTAGTTTGGGGTAAAAATCTGTTCATATTAATTCCCTAATAAGCATAATAATTCATAATTTTTTGGTTCTAATCACATTTCAATTAAACTTGGAAACATAGATTTTCTGTTACATTGCGCAGACCTCATTAGTTTTACACTCAAATCTGTTCTTATTAATTTTTTGATTTGCATAATTAGTTTTCAGCTAAATAATTTCGAATTATATTTAATGTGTCTCCAATACTCTCAGCACATGGGAGTTCTTTCTAAGCTTTCTTTGATTTAATATCTGTGTTTAAAATGTTGATGCTATCTGATTTCCTAATTTCCCATTCTAAACTATTCCGAACACATGCTCCTGCTATTGCTATAGGCAGGCTGTTTTTTAAATACTGCCTTATGTGTTCAATGTCTTGCCTTGACATAAAGATTGTTGGCAACTGCTGATCTACATATATCTCAAGTATATGTGAACATTTCTCTCATGTGATTTTATATAATACCAACAATGAGATGAATGAAAAGACAACATTCTAATTAAAATGCACATATCTAATTTCTTTTAATTACACAGAGCTGAATTGCACCATGCATCTTGTAACCTGATATTTGGGTTGATGCTGGAAGCATATCTGAGAGCAAGTGGTGCCTATCTGAAAGAACTTATTAAGCAAGTAGAAGCCATAGAGAAATTGACAATGCTGACTCATATGATACGTGAAAGAAAGGAAGACAACAATCGGGTATGTGAATATTTTTCTGTTTAGAGTTTTGATTAGAGTTCTGATTAGAGTTCTGATTATCAGTGATACGTCATAGGTCTTTTGACAGTTCAATTGGTTTCAATGAGTAACTGCTATTAACAAACAATAAGTTTCTCAATGTTGTGCGGTTCAATAACTGGCAGTTAGTTTTGTGCAGTTATCTTTTCTTTTTCAATACACTCTGATTTACACCTTGTCTTACCTTGTTTACTCCTCAGTTAATGGAACAACAGATGAACCAACCTGATTACATTGATGTTCTACAAAACTTCTCATCACCACTCTGTCCCAGCCATACTTTGGGAGATATATGGTAAGCTTTACCTCAATACATCCAGTTTTGTACTGAACATGTTAATTTGCATGGTTGCTTTTCTAAGTTTACAAATTGTTCATAGAATACAAGAAATGTATTCAGAAACACTGATGAACATATGATTTGTGATGTCTTGTTATCCACACATGGATTATTGTACCAGAAAACTTAAAAATGATTTTTGCAATATCTCTTTATATTGCTTTCTCCAGTATTGACAAATGCAATATAATGAACTCTGCAAAGCGCCCTCTATGGCTGAATTGGAAGAATCCTGATATGATGTCAGAAGCTTTGTTCACCAATCATATGATGATATTCAAAAACGGAGATGGTGAGTAGTTAAACTGTCAACTGGCTATTATTTTGTTAGCTGCTGATGAATTGGTAAGGTTTCTGTCAAATAGATTGCATCATTGTAAATATCATGATATATTAAACATCTGACTACAAAATAAAGTATGGACTGGGACTATCAATCCAAAAAGAAATAGCACAATTATGTGGTTAGTCAAAATTTTTGAAGCCAATAAGTTAAGAATATTTGCCAAATAGTTGATAGTTTTATCTTTAGAAATGGGAAACATTTTTAAGCAAAATATTTCCCAACTGTCGATATCTTCGTCCCTAGATAAGGTTTCGGGTAGGCAAAGATTTGGATGGGTAATGGTTCGGATGGGGAAGGTTTCAGGTTTTGAATGAGCAAGGGTTCAGGTGGCAATGTTTTGAACAAACATGGTAGTGACATTTCCCAATACAATGAATTGCAGATCTGCGGCAAGACATGTTAACGCTACAAGTCATAAGAATTATGGACAGCGTTTGGAAGAATGAGGGACTAGACCTAATGTGAGTTGTCTGTAAATCAAACTTGTATGAAACCTTTCTTAGTACACAGTATATTTGTTAATATAAGTGGTAT